CCCCCCCCCCCTCAAATTTCTTCTCTCCTCCCCCCGCGCCGGGAGCTGAGCTCAGCCCCCCCCCCCCGGATTTGGGGCGGAAAAAGTGGAAATGGGAATTTCTGTGTCACCCCCCCCCCCGGCCCCCGCCCCCCTCCCCTCCCGCCGGATTTTTGGGGGGAAAATCTCCTTTTTATCCCTTTCCCCCCCCCTTTTCCCAGGGGTTCCCCCCGCTGGGATCGCCGGGGGGGCCTGGAAGGTTCTGGAATTGTGGAAATTCCGGGCTCGCAGCTGCGGGGCGGGATCGGGGATTTGGGATCGCCGCCCCCGCCCCGATCCCAACATCTGGCCCCGCCGCTGCCGGCCCGTCCCTTTCCCATTCCCGATCTCCCTTCCCGGCTTCATCCCGCGGGATTTCCCCCCAAAATCCCCCCAAATCCTATTTTTGGGGGGAATTATCCACCCCTCCCAGCTCCGCCAGGACGCTCCAGCGGGATTTATCCGCTCGCCCCATCCCAAATCCCCCCTACACCCCAAGCGGGATCCCCCAAATCCCACCCAGCTCCAGGAGAGATTTCTCCCATATTTCCCCCATTTTTCCCCATTCCCCCCCCCATTTCCCCCCCTTTTTCCCAATTTCCCCCCATTTTTTTCTCAATTTTTCCTATTTTTTCCCAATTTTACCCAGTTTTTCCCTATTTTTTCCTGTATTTTCCCAGCTTTTCCAGTGCTCCCTGCGTGTCCCGGGCCTGGCCCGGTGTTTTTCCTGCCAGGGTGGATCCGGGCGGGGGCTGGAAAATCGGGATGGGCTGGGAAAAAAACAGGCGGCTCCCGCTTTTCCACCAATTTTTGACGGCGATTTTCTTTCCCCTGTCCCGCGGGTCGGGAATTCCCTGGGCAGGGAGGGCCTGGAATGTTCTGGTGGCACCCCAAATCTCTGTCACCCCCCGCTGTCACCTTCGTTGTCCCCAGATCCAGAGGGAATTCTGCCCGTGGTACTTTTGGGGGGATTTCTCGGGTTTTTGGGGTCTTGCGGGGGGGTTTTGATGGCCGGGGATCGAAATCCCGGATTTTGGGGCTGCCGGGACCCCCAGAAGAGCCCGAGGCAGGGATTTGTGGGGGAAACAAGGAACACCCCCAAACCCCAACATTTCCACCCCAAAAAAGCGACGGGGGAGCACCCCCAAATCCCCTCCAAATCCCGGGTTTGGCCCCAAAAATGCCCCGCTGGATGGCGGGGGGGACCCCAAATGGGGCCGGGGGGACACGCGGTGACACCAAATGGGGTTGGGGGGACACACGGTGACCCCAAATGGGGTCGGGGGGACACGCGGTGACCCCAAATGGGGTTGGGGGGACATGGGGACACGCTGTGACCCCAAATGGGGCCGGGGGGACACGCGGTGACCCCAAATGGGGCAGTGGGAAGGGTCACAAGAGGGGTGACCCCAAGAGAGGACATGGGGACACGGGGACATGGGAATACGGGGACACAAGGATTTGGGGACATGGGGACACAAGGATTTGGGGACATGGGGACATGAGGCCACAGGGACATGGGGACACAGCGACACAGGGACACGGCGTTATGGGGACACGGGCACAGCCAGCACACGCGTGTGGCGTGTCCCTGTCCCGGCACGTCCGGGCACACTCAAACCCCCTGCTGTCACCCCGTGTCCCCCCGTTTCCCCACCCGTGT